TGTCCTGAAACGGATTTGGTCCAAAGAGACCTAGGGTATAAAACCGTTATTTCGATGAGGCATAGGTATTGATATCCTAATTACAACAATATATATCTTATTAGGAGGAAGTTCATACTTCCCTAGATATAAGCCTTCCAAAGTCGCACCTCAACTCAACGTATGCCAAAATTTCACACAGAGATTTTGGTTAATATGACATACTAAAATTTATCACCTCACATTTGCAAGCTTCTTCAATCAAATTTTGCAACTATCGGAGTATTATTGCAACCTACAGAGCACAAACAAAATCAAATGCAAATTTTGTTTCTCTAGTATTTTTTGATCAGCTCAGTCCATAATTGCGTCCTAGAGTTTGATTACAATTTTTAAGGGATGGACGAACAAACACACGTAGCTTGATCGTGTTAAAAAATTTAATCAAATTAAATGGAATTTTGCACAGTTATTTTTTGGACCAAACACGGACCCAATTGAAAATAGTGCAAATGGATTCAGATTTAGATAGTCCACCCGTTTTTGTTTACTTCTGCATTTTATTTTATCTTCTTGTAAATACTGTTTGCACAAAGCTGGTCAATGCAATTATGCTTTACAGCGTTAAACCTATTAGATAATGTACAAAAAAGGGTAACCCTGGAAACTAAAATATTTATATATTTGTTTAAAAAACTGTTTATGCAGAGTATATAAGAAAAATAAATATTTATTTTGCATCAGGCTATGAAAATGTAGTAAGTAAGTAATATATATATATATATATATATATATACTATACTATCTATATATATATATATATATATATATATATATATATATATATATATATATATATATATATATATATATATATATATATATATATATATATATATATATATATATATAGACACCACAAAGTACATATATTTTTGATCAGCGTAAAATTCTAAGACGATTTAGCCATGTCCGTCTGTCTGTTGCAAACCTCTGTTGCGTATCACAGCGACGTTTCATTGAATTGACCAAATGTTGGCAGTATTCGCATGGAATTTTTAGCCAGGCTCCTTGAAGTACCCCCCACAGTTCATTACTATTTTTGGGTTTAGCTACGGCCACCTCCTTTTTTATATCGCACAACAAATTTTCAATTGGATTTAGATCCGGTGTCGGGACCCAGTACCACAATATAAAACAATTTTGGACTCATCCAACCATAGAATGTTTCTCCATTTTTTATTGGCCATTCCATATGTGATTGTGCAAACTTAAATCGCTTTGTGACGTGTATTTTTCTTTTAATAGTGGCACCTTTTTCGGACTCCTTGCATAAAGGTTGTTCTCGCGTAACACTCTGCGAACAGTTTCTACACTAACAGAAGGACAAACACTGTCCTTATTTCTGTGGCGGGCACTAAAGGATTTTTGGTGCTAGCGTTTTTTATACCCTCCACCATACTATGGAGGGTATATTAATTTTGTCATTCCGTTTGTAACTCCTCGAAATACTCATGTCAGACCCAACAAAGTATATATATTCTTGATCAGCGTAAAATTCTAAGACGATTTAGCCATGTCCGTCTGTCTGTCTGTCTGTCTGTCTGTCTGTCCGTCGGTCTGTCTGTCTGTCTGTTGTAATCACGCTATCTTTCGAACAAAATTATGCACGCATGTATATTTTGTTAGTAGGCAGGTTAGGTGCGTAAATGGGCCATGTAGATCCAAGAAATCATATAGCCCCCATATAACGGTACCTCCCGATATTCGGTATTTTGATGATTTTTGCGAAGTTATTCACCGGAATTGTTTCAAATTTGGCATTTGAAGTTCGTAATGGATACTACAGCCTAAGACAGAAAATAATCTATGTAGGTCGACGTCTTCGTATAGCCCCCATATAATGGTACCCCCCGATATTCGGTATTTTGATGATTTTAGCGACATTATTTAACAGAATCGTTCCAGATTTGGCATTTGAAGTTCGTAATAGATGCTGCAGCATTAAACAGTAAATGGGCCGTGTAGGTCCACATCTTCGTATAGCCCCCATATACCGTACCCCCCGATATTCGGTATGTTGATGATTTTAGCGACATTATTTACCGGGATTGTTTCAAATTTCACATGTGAAGTTCTTAATGGATACTTCAGTCCATGCCAGAAAACTGTCTGTGCAGGTCCACGTCTTCGTATAGCCCCCATATAACGGTACCCCCTATATTCGGTGTTTTGATGATTTTAGCTACATTATAAACAGATCTTTCTTCAAGTTTCGCATTTAAATATTGTAATAACTTATGAAAAAAGTTGCCTATGCAGGTCCACGTCGTCGAATTTTTAAGATTTTAACAGAATTTTTAACGGATTTAATTTTTATACCCTCCACCATACTATGGAGGGTATATTAATTTTGTCATTCCGTTTGTAACTCCTCGAAATACTCATGTCAGACGCAACCAGGTATACATATTTTTGATCAGCGTAAAATTATAAGACGATTTAGCCATGTCCGTCTGTCTGTCTGTTGTAATCACGCGATCGTAAATGGGCTATGTAGGTCCAGTTATCATATAGCCCCCATATAACCGTACCTCCCGATATTCAGTATTTTGATGATTTTAGCGACATTATTCTCCGGAATTGTTTCAAATTTGGCATTTGAAGTTCGTAATAAATACTACAGCCCAAGACAGAAAATTATCTGTGCAGGTCCACGTCTTCGTGTAGCCCCCATATAACGGTACCCCCGATAATCGGTATTTTGATGATTTTAGTGACACTGTTTACCGGAATCGTTTCAAATTTGGTATTTGAAGTTCGTAATGGATTCGTAATCCTAAGTCAAAAAATGAGCCATGTAGGTCCACGTCCTCATATAGCCCCCATATAACGGTAGCCCCCGATATTCGGTATTTTTATGATTTTAGCGACATTATTTAGCGAAATCGTTCAAAATTTGGTATTTGAAGTTCGTACTAGATACTGCAGTATAAAACAGAAAATGGGACGTAAAGATCGAAGTCTTCATATAGCCCCCATATACCGTACCACCCGATATTCGGTATGTTGATGATTTTAGCGATATTATTTACCGGGTTTGTTTCAAATACGGCATGTGAAGTTCGTAATGGATCCTTCAGCACATGCCAGAAAATTGTCTCTGCAGGTCGACGTCTTCGTATAGCCCCCATATAACGGTACCCCCCATATACAGTATTTTAATGATTTTAGCTACATTACGTCGTCGTATAAGAATTCGGCTTTCTTAAGATATTAACAGAATTTTTAACGGATTTTATTTTTTTGGAAATTGCCAAATTTTTACCAAATGGTGGAGGATATTAAAAGTTCGGCCCGGCCGGACTTACAGCTTGTTTACTTGTTATCATTCGCCTGGTTTTTTTGATACAGACTTTCTACCTCTAGTTTCGATTTTCTTTTCATATATTAATGCGTTTCTGATCATTGTGGCAGAACAATTCAAACGCCGGATATCTTCATTGCAGCGCTTTCCTCGTCCCACTTACCAGTATATACCGTATATAGTATATATATAAATATATATATATATATATATATATATATATATATATATATATATATATATATATATATATATATATATATATATATATATATATATATATATATATATATATATATATTTTACGAATATAACTTTAGATTTAAGTTAATTTAGATGAATTCCGTTAATTTAAGAATTTGAATTTCTACTACGCAGTTTATTTGAATAACTTCACAACAACAACTACTGTATAGATTTTTCTACATCCTTCCATTTCCTCTTTCATTTTCTATTTTGTTGCTGACGTACAATTCTTGTTAAACGTCATCATTGATGATCGCTTAATTCCTCTTTCTTTGTTACCCCCTCGCCTGTGTATGTGTTGTTGTTATTGTTCACTCAATGTAAGTTTGTATGTGGTCGTTGCATTGGTAGATTGTTCGTAATCTAGGTGTTACCACATCGTCTAGAAACTTCTGTAGCGACAGGCGAGGCTCATATAAATAGGGGAAATGGAAAGGCAGTTAGTCAGTTGTGAATCAGATCGCGAATTGAAACCGTCGAGTAAAGTAAAGTGCAAAGTAAAGTTGTGTGAATAAAATCATTGTAATAATCGTAATCCGAAAGAACCCGCGTTTTATTTGGTACGAGCTGTATTGGGAAATAAAACTACGTCTACACGGGATTAAGTAAAATCCAAGAACGTAACAATTGGTGTCGGAAGTGAGATTACGATAATACTACGATGAAGTTTAAGGATCTACGAGTGGAAGACTTGAAGAAGGAACTTAATAAATTGGAATTGTCCTCTACTGGCAACAAGGCTGAACTACAAAAACGTCTGTTGGATGAGTTCGAGCGCCGTGGTATGAACATCGATACATATGAGTTTGACAGTAAGGATGAAGTGGATTTATCGGAAATGGGCGAATCCAACGGTGGGGAAGTCTCGTCAGTAGCTGCCAGGGGTGACGATTTCAGAGAAATGCTAGCCAAAATGTTTGAGGAAAATTTCAGAAGGTTCGAAGAAAATTCAAGAATAACGAACGAGAAACTCGAGTACATTGCAGAAGTTATTGGAAGGAGAGTGGAAACCGTGGAGGTCCAAATTAAAGAGTTGGATGAGAAAGTGCAGTCGGTTGACGAGAAATTTCTGTCCCACGACCATAGGGTTACAAATCTGGAGAAGAAAATTTCGGAACTGGAAATCAAAGGTGGTCCGGTGCGAGTTCCTGATAACACACTAAAAACCAAACCTCCTGTATTCGACGGCTCTACGTCATTCAATGTTTTCAAGTTACAGTTCGAGACAGTGGCTTCTAGAAATTCGTGGAACGACAGCGACAAAGCGGTTGCACTACTTCTGGCATTGAAGGGCAGTGCTGCCGATGTTATACAGAGTATTCCTGTCGCTTCTAGAAACAACTATGAAGATGTTATTGCTGCATTGGAACGTAAGTACGGTGGCGAACATAAACGAAACATCTACCTTATGGAATTAAGGGGAAGAGTACAGAGGGCAAACGAGACGTTACAAGACTTTGCAGCTGAGGTGGAACGTTTGGTGCTAATGACGTATCCAGGAGAGGATCACCCATTGCTGGACCGTATGAAAATCGAAACCTTTGTAAATGGCATACGTGACGTGAGATTAAGTATGCAACATATGCGTCACCAAAAGCATCATTTTCCGAAACTGTGTCGTTTGCCCTTGCCCAAGAGACGGCAAGAATAGTTGTTAAGCCCCAGACCCACAAGATTCGCCAACTGGAGACCGAAGGTTGCGAACCCAAATCTCTCGTTAACTCGATCGAAGACGCCATGAGGCGGGTAATAGAAGAGACAATATTAGTTGGGATGACTAAGCCCAGGGTTAGATGCTACAACTGCGATAAAGCAGGTCATATTGCGCGCGAATGCAGAGCTAAGCGCAAACGATCCAGGTCATCGTCACCACCTCCAACGAAAGATGGTAGAAGAATGGCCCAACAGTCCACCAATGAGTCACAGTTAAACTAAATCCAGCCAGTCCAGCGGGGCATGAACTGGCTCCCATCGACGATGGCCCCACAATCTCCATATCAATAGTACAGCAGGAAAGTCACAACCTAACAACAACTGGGTACATCAATGGAGATAAGCGAGTTCTGACGTTAGATACTGGCGCATCAAAGTCCATCGTAAGATCAGATCTGGTAAAGGGAAAAATAACGCAACTTAATGGAGTCAGACTGCGCACAGCAACGGGGGAGCCCGCGGCAGTACACGGCAAGATTACCCTGAGACTAACTATTGCCAATAAATCGGAGAATTACGAGTTTATAGTTGCCGATATCGTAGACGAAGTGATAATAGGCGCAGATTTTATGATTGCCTTTGGTATCAATCTGGATATGAAAGAACGTGTGATGACCTGGTCTAACGTCGAAATTCCGTTAAACGTGGGCTACGATGAAAGTACACCCATTAGACGTCTGACCACGGACCATCCAGAGATAATACCGCCCTGTGCCGAAGCAATAATATGGGTACTAATGAATGGAGATTGTGGAGCCGAGAAGTTGTGGGTGATGGAACCAGCAGAAAACATAAACAGTAACATCCTAATAGCGAATGCCCTGGTGAAAAGCAACAAGGACGGATTAATTCCTGTTAGAGTTTTGAACCTGTCAAACAAGCAAGATCAAATTTGCCAATTTTCCGATGTTGGACAATGCACACCAGCTGAAGCTGTAGTTAATTTGGAAACTAGCACCGAAAAGCCAGCTGCCATGGAGAAGAAGCACCTCGACGGCTACATAAAAGAGTGGACACACCAATTATCACCTTCCGAGAGGAACAAGGCTAAGCAGCTATTATGGAAATATGCCTCTACCTTTGCGTTGACAAAAGAGCACCAAGGAAGAACATCAGTGGTGAAGCATGAAATCAATACAGCAGACGCGAGACCCATTAAACAGCCTCCAAGAAGTGTTCTCCTGGCAAAAAGAGACGAGGTTCAGAAGCTGATAAGTGAAATGGAAAAGAGTGGTGTAATAGAAACATCGTCAAGTCCATGGTGCTCCCCAGTGGTCTTGGTCAAGAAGAAAGACGGAAGCACCCGATTTTGTGTGGACTACAGAAAGTTGAATGATGTCACCAAGAAAGACAGCTATCCGCTCCCAAGAATCAACGACACATTGGACACATTAGCCGTGACGTCATGGTTCTCCACCCTCGACCTGCAGAGTGGGTACTGGCAAGTAGAGATCGCCGAGAAAGATAAGGAGAAAACAGCGTTTGGCGTAAATGGGGGTCTCTGGCAGTTCAATGTCATGCCATTCGGACTCTGCAACGCCCCGGCTACATTTGAAAGGCTGATGGAGCGTGTGTTAAAAGGGCTGCAGTGGAAGTCGTGCCTCATATACCTGGATGACATCATAGTCATGGGACGCAACTTCGACGAACACATCAAGAACTTAAAGGATGTTCTACAGCAGCTTTCGTCTTCAGGCCTCAAGCTGAACCCAAAGAAGAGCAGTCTCTTCCAACGAGAGGTGAAGTTCCTGGGGCACCACGTGACGCCGGAGGGCATATCGACGGATAAGGAGAAAATTCAAGCCGTCAGAGATTGGCCGCAGCCCCGAAATCTCCATGAGCTGCGAAGCTTTCTGGGTCTCTACACATACTACAGTCGATTTGTCCAAAATTTTGCCAACATCGCCGCCTGTCTACACCGTTTGACGCAAAAAGGCCAGAGGTTTCAGTGGGGCAACGACCAGGAGGAGGCATTCAGAAAGCTCAAAGACATGCTATGCAGAGCCCCCATTTTGGCATACCCTATACCTGGCGGCAAGTTTGTCCTGGACACAGACGCAAGTGCGTGCGGCATCGGTGGCGTCCTTTCCCAGGAAATCGACGGACAGGAAAAAGTCATCGGGTACTACAGCCGGACATTGTCGAAACCTGAGAGGAATTACTGTGTGACGAGGAGAGAGCTGCTTGCTGTCCTTGAGTGCGTTAAACACTTCCACAAATACCTATATGGCCAGCATTTCCTGCTGAGGACCGACCACGCTGCTCTCCAATGGTTGCTGCAGTTTAAGAATCCGGAAGGTCAACTAGCCCGTTGGATCGAGAGGCTCCAGAGTTATGACTTCAGAATCGAGCACAGAAAAGGCGGAAAACACGGTAATGCTGATGCCCTGTCTCGTCGGCCATGCAAAGTAGAATGCAAGCACTGCTCAAAGGCTGAGAATAAAGAGAATATCGTTGATGTTCGACTATTGCAATTTGAGTCGGGTGAAGATTGGTCGACGGAACAACGAAGAGATCCCATTCTGGGCAAAGTAATTTCGGCCATAGAAACGGGCAAACGACCTAGTCGCAAAGAAATTACCTCCGAAAGCCCTTTTTTAAAATCCTATTGGGCCCAGTGGGACAGTCTACTTATAATAAATGGTTGCCTATATCGCAAATGGGAAAGTGAGGACGGTAAATCTCACCGGAACTTGATCGTCGTCCCAGACTCCAAAATAAGAGATGTCTTGTCGGAGTTTCACGATGGGCCAAGTGGAGGACATCTTGGCATAGCAAAAACCGCTGAAAAGGTAAAGCAGCTGTCAAAAATCCATTGCCGACTGGATCGCCAATTGTGAAAGGTGCATAAGAGCTAAAGGTCCAACACGGAAGAGTCGAGGCTACATGCAGCAGTATAATTCAGGAGCCCCTTTTGAAAGAATCGCAATGGATGTAGCTGGACCGTTCCCAACAAGCGACTCTGGGAACCGGTATGTCTTAGTGGTCATGGATTACTTCAGTGAATCAGATCGCGAATTGAAACCGTCGAGTAAAGTAAAGTGCAAAGTAAAGTTGTGTGAATAAAATCATTGTAATAATCGTAATCCGAAAGAACCCGCGTTTTATTTGGTACGAGCTGTATTGGGAAATAAAACAACGTCTACACGGGATTAAGTAAAATCCAAGAACGTAACAATATATATATATATATATATATATATATATATATATATATATATATATATATATATATATATACACTGGTGGCCAAAACTAAAGCAACTTAAATCGCAAAGACAATAAATCTCCTGTAACTTTTACAAAAATAAACAAATCGTAATTATTTTTCCAATTTTAAATGAGGGGTTTAATTCACTTTTAAGAAACTAAAAATAAAAATACAAAAATAATTTTTAACGAAAAATAATATGTGGAAAACCAAAATGACCCAATTTTTGCTTGGTCAAAACTAAAGCAACTTTTGATTTATTATTTTAAAATAATTCAATTTTGGCTAGTAGTCGATAGCATAACTATTATTTTTTATCGCAGCTGCACACCTACGAGGCATTGAATCTATAACACGCTCAATTTGATCCTTGGGTGTGCTTTCCCAGGCACCCCGAATTCTTTAGAAAATGTTGTGCTTATTTATTTCCGAATCTCGCTTGATCTTCCTATCTACGATACTCCAAAGGTTTTATATGGAGTTTAGGTCAGGTGATTGTGCCGGCCATAAGAAAACATCAATTTTTGACTCCCGCAACCAATATTTGACAAGTTTTGATACAAGGTTGGGATCATTGTCATGCTGAAACACCCAAATCAGCCGAATAGTTTAGGTCAGGTGATTGTGCCGGCCATAACAAAACATCAATTTTTGACTCCCGCAACCAATATTTGACAAGTTTTGATACAAGGTTGGGATCATTGTCATGCTGAAACACCCAAATCAGCCGAATATTTTACTCAGCGTAAGGGAACAACGTAATGTCCAACACATCTTTGTAAACAAACCGATCCACAACTTCCTTTATTTTATGGATAGGCCCAAGTCCATAGAAAGAAAAACAGCGCCACGCCATTTTGACCCTCACTCATGCTTCACTGTACCTTTGCAACACTGCGGCTTGAGTCCTTCATTTGTTGGCCTTCTCACCGTAAAATTTTTCACGTCTGAGCCTTTAATATTAAACGTAGACTCATGCCAGAAATAATGTTTTTTCCATTGAGCTTGATTCCACTTAATATTATCGTTTCCGAAAGCCTTGTTGATTTTTCAGATATAAATGTTTTTTTAAGTCTTACGGGCATGCAGACCAGCTGCCACTACTCGTCTACGCACTGATCTCGAGCTTATATCCAATGATTGCTCTCTCACCAATCCAGTTGAACTCTTAAATAGTTGTTTTTTATTTCTCTCACAATTTGTGGATCAGTAGGGGCTGAAGTTTTTCACGTCCTTCATCCGTTATAGACTGTTACTACTGATCCAGTTTCAAAAAACCGACTTAGTATACAGAAATAATTATGAAATCACATAAATATTTATGAAATATTTCTAGGAAATCATTTTCTGTGATATGTTGTTTTGATAGTCACTGATAATTTGCTGTTTTATTCAGGTACTGTATTTGCTTCAAGCCATTTTTAAAATTTTTTGGGCAGTACTTAAAAAACGAAAAGAAAAACACATACTGTTGTAAAAAACTTTTCAAAAAGGAGTTATGACAAGCGAAATTGTCGAAGGAAGCAAAAGCGATAAATATTAAGTAAAAACAACTGAAATTGCAGCGGTTATATGAATATACAACAGAGTTGCTTTTGTTTTGTCCAAGCCAAAATCGGGTTAATTGACTTTACCAAACATTATTTTTTATATAAAAATGAATTTTGGTTTTATGTTTTAGATTTTTAAAAAGTGAATAAAGTACCTAATTTAAAACAAGAAAAACTTTCTCATTTTCTTAATTTTTTGTTAATTCGATTGATTAAGAAATATTGGAGATTTTAAAGATATTTTCTGATTTTACTGCATTAGTAAGTCCATTACTTAAAACTATCGAATAAAGCAGCACCACGTGTAAGAACCATGCCAAAATTATTGCTCGTTTTGTTTTGAACTAACAACTGCAACTGTATATATATATATATATATATATATATATATATATATATATATATATATATATATATATATATATATATATATATATAGATTGCCCCCAGATATAGTTGAA